GTCTTGATTAGGAAAGGGTAAAGATAGCAGCCCAGTCCTTGAGGCGTATGGGTCTTTTGTGATGGATATGTTTTCCCCGCAGAGTGATTTAGATTTATCTATTAACTTTTGTAAAGGAACATCTGAGCGTCCTCGTGATTCAAAGCTCCAAATCCTTCGAAGATTTGCAGAAAAGCTTTCCTCTCTGCAGGGTAAGTAATTGGTATTTGTTCCATTACTGCTCCTGGTTCCATGATTTGAATGAAACTAAGAAAATTGTTGTAGATTCTAAGTCATTGCAAATGGAAGTTGTAAAGTTTTTAGAAAGATGAGTTTCATGTATATATCTTCCGTAAACTTCTTTTGTAGGACAAGGGTATGTTAGGAATGTTAAATCTATCTTCGGTGCTAGGGTGCCGATTGTCAGATTCTTTGATCAAGGGACTGCTGTTGAATGTGATTTGTCAGTCGAAAACAAAGATGGCATTTTAAATTCACAAATCATTCGCATTATATCTAAAATCGATGACAGGTTTCAGAAACTTTGTATGTTGGTAAGATTTTAGATTTTTTTTTTTTTAATAGCGATTGTATATCCTTCTAGCACTAATGACTTGTGAGTTTATCAACAGAATTTAGTTGCTCTTGTTGGCAAGTTAAAACTATCGAAATTTCTGTACGACGATATTTTTAGGATTATAAGATTTCTTATGTGCTGCTATGGTTTGTTTCTGTAGTTTCTTTCTAGTCTCTTCAGTTCGTTATAATTTTCAATCCACAAAAGGTTTCCCAGAGCTGACTATTTTTCAGGATAAGATGTCATATCTTTTATCAAAGTGGAATCTGTGAGGCTCGTGACACAGAACTTAGTGTAATCACATTCACATTAAAATTATAGGGACTCTATGACTAACCATAATGTTTATACTGATGAAGTATTTGATGTTCAGATTGTTAACTCGTAGATAGATGTGTAGCTGTGGTTAATACATTTACTAATGTGACTGCTGTCCTATGACAGGTTAAGCGTTGGGCCAAAGCACATGAGGTCAATAGTGCACTACACCAAACCCTGAATTCTGTATCTATAACACTGCTAGTCGCTCATCATTTACAGGTAGCAAAATCAGTAACTGACTCACTGTTGTTGGATGCCACTAGACTCTGTACTTTCCATATTCATGTTACCTTTACACTGGGTGGTGAATTATATTATATGTTGAATTTCAACTTTCAGGAGACGAGTAGGTAGTTGGTCTAATTGTTTAATGGGAAATAATTTTGTTTAGAATTTTTTTTTACTTGCTGGAATTCAATCTCTAAAGGCAAGTTCAAAAGTGTTAGGCATTTTTTGTTGTATGTAACTATCTTATATTTGATAAGATGTTATTCAGGAGAGGAACTTTGCATGTTGGATGACAAAATTCCAGTGAAATCTTAGTCTAATGTACTTCTCTTTTGTGTTATATGTAGACTCAAAATCCTCCCATTTTACCTCCATTCTCTATACTATTTAAAGGTAATAATTTGTTTCTTCCAAGCATATAATAAAGTAAAAGAGAAATATGATAGTTTTGTACTTTTTGCATGTACTTTCTGGCAGATTTAACATGTATAAAGTCTCTTTGGGCATCTTACCTAAATTGAGTTTTTTATTTTATTTTGATGTCATCAGACAATTTGATGATCAAATTTTCAGATTACATTTCGTATTTCTCTTCATATCATCAGAATCATATTCTCTCTGAATTTCTGTCTTAGGATCCTCCTATTCTCTTTTTTGCTTATGAAGTGTTTTTTATGACATTTAATTTCCTTTGTTGTCTTTTCCAGATGGAATTGATCCTCCCAGTGTTGAGAAAAAGACGCAGAATTTCTTGAACTGGGGATGGCGTAACAAAGCATCTCTGGGTAGACTGTTTACGATGTTTTTTATCAAGGTGCTATTTTTTTACTTTTAAACCCAAACGTTAGTATAAAAACAAGCGCAATACATTCTCTTGTTATAACAAAAATAGCTTTTCTGTCTCGCAGTTGCAATCTGTCGAATTCCTTTGGAAGCAAGGGCTATGTGCCAGTGTGTTGAATGGTCTTTGGATATCCAAAAAGTGGAAAAAAGCCAGCATTGGGTCCATTAGTGTAATTTCTTTTCGTGAAACTCCATTCGTGAATATTTCAATTTTCATTTGTACTATTTGTCTCATGACTTCAGTTTTGGTTTGTGCTGACAGATCGAGGATTTCACGGACGTGTCTCAGAATGTTGCAAGGCGGGTTAATGGCCAAGGAGCCAAAAAGATTTACGGTTCTATAAACAGAACCGTAGAAGTCCTATTTGAATTCCTTGATGGCAAGATTTCCGAAACACATCTCAGACATAGGTTGTTTGGCCAACAAGCTGTTGTGGAGCCTTCTCATGTGCCGTCACTCAATATTTACCCACAACAACCTCAGAACAACGATAGAATTGGGTATATCGGTTTTCTTGAAGAACATCGGAACAAAAGGGTGTGCTTGGAAAACGGCTACAGTGCTGTTGAAGGAAACGGTCATGGGAGAGAGGACGAGAGGTACGAAAATCCCGTAGGAAAACGAAATAGGTATGTTGGAAATTGCAATGGTTTTGATGGAACCAGTCATGGGAGAGAGGAGGAGAGGTACCAGAATCCCATAGGAAAACAGAACAATGACAGAATCGGGTATATCGGTCTTGGTGAAGAACATCAAAACAAAAGGGTGTGCTTGGAAAATGACTACAGAGCAGTTGAGGGAACCGGTCATGGGAGAGAGGAGAGGTACGAAAATCCTATAGGAAAACGGAACGACAGAATCGGGTATATTGGGTATATCGGTCTTGGTGAAGAACATCAAAACAAAATGGTGTGCTTGGAAAATGACTACAGAGCTGTTGAAGGAACCAGTCATGGGAGAGAGGAGGAGAGGTACGAGAATCCCATAGGAAAACGGAACAGGTATGCTGGAAATTGCAATGTTTTTGAAGGAACCGGTCATGGGAGAGAGGAGAGGTATGAGAATCTCGTAGGAAAACGAAACAGGTATGCTGTAATCTCCAATGGTTTTGAAGAGCTTCATGAAATTCGTCGGTTTGGAATCCATAATAAGCCCTTAGATGATCCTTATAGACAAGTCCCACTGAATGGTCATCGTAGGCATGATGGTAGGTTTATTGATGAAGAACCAATGCCCACGGGTCTGAGGCGAGACAGAATTGATCCGCCACTGCCACCTTATGGTAGAGTTCCTTATGAGAATTTTAAGCCTCAACCATATTCTGGCAGACCGTTTTACTAGTAGACTTTTTTTGCTCAGAGAAGTTAAAAAACGAATAACCAACCATTTTTAAAAGATGAATGTTGCTTCAAATTCTGCAATTTGTCCGTTCAGATTACATTTCAAGATTACATTTCGCTGTATTGCTATTGTTTAATTTCCTTAACTAACCGATTTTGAGGGAAATTCAGGTTCTGGTTTCATTTAGTTGGCTTGAGAGAAAATGTATGTTAGTTTCTTTGGTATTATATACCTCTTTGGCTCAAAATAACCACAATGTGTTTGGATAAAATCTTAAATCAGCCAGAGAACAATAAATAGTGAAAAAATTCAAAGTAGGCTTTGCTTGGCGGACTCTCTTGTCAAAATGAAATCAACTGCTTCCTCAGCGGTGTCAACTACCTGAAGAAGTTAAAACAGTTCTACATGAACATTTTCTCGTGGGAATAACAATAAGCTTTTAAAGGCAAAAGTAATGGTGTTGCTAACCAGATCCGCAGGAAACTCGGCATGATTATCTTTCCCTTTGAAAACTCCAGTTCTCGTCAAGATTGAGAACCAAGGATTCCCAGCCTGTCACACAGATTTACTTTTAACAGATTGCTAATGGTTTAAGGTATAACTAGAGGACTGTTTTGTGGCGACCAACTCTAGTCGGAGAGAAAGAGCACAAAACCTGTCGTGCGCCTCTGATGTCGATTTTAGGATTGTCTCCAATCATATAGAGTGTTCTGAAGTCGTGACTTCCTGAATGAGAATGAGTGGATGATGCGATTTCTTTCAGAACATCTTCTGCGTTCTTGAACACAAATGGATTTGGCTTCCCAAAAGATGTGTACTCCAGAGGGTTACCATGGATTCTGCATATATATAACACAATCAAGAATAATTGAATTGAACAGATGTCTCATTTGTTATGCCTTTTTAAGGTCAGTCTCATGTTTCCTGAAAGTTCTACAATGTCATATATATGACATGTTCTTGATTTGGGCTTATTACCTGTTGAAGATGGATTCTAAGGCAATTCTAAAAGCTCCCATGCCAAGACGTTCAGTAGGAAACGCAGTCTGCCAATAGTTCACAATATATCAGTATCCCCATATGATAAGTCAAAGAAGGGAAGGAAACAGGTAAGATCACCATAACCTGGTAGTCTAAATCGTCGTTGGCAAAGTACAAATGAGGTTGAGGTCCAATTTCTTTCCCAGGAAGTCCTCCAGTTCGTAAAATGTCACAAAGAACCTGAAAGAATGCACCAATAAGTATTCAATGGGAGCACACAAAAATCTAGGAAGCCCTGCCCAACAAAATCTACAAGGGATCTACCGCCAGAAACCATTTTGAGCAGATGCGTGAAGCAGAGATTTTACAAAAACTCATGTAATTTGAGCAGAAAAAGGAATGACAACCTGGATGTCGCGGCTCCAATCAACTGGATCACTAACTATAAATGCTGCATGAACTCTATGGGATAGAAGATTTTCTCTTGATCTAGGCTCCTTGTGACCATCTTGCCCAGTCATCCATTTCTTATATGGCGCCAAGGGATCAATGTGGTCAAAGCAAGAGGCATATTCGTCCATTGAAATGACGTTTCTGATAATCCATAAACATATGTAATCACCTTAATAGAAGTCTGAAGCACAAGCAATAGGGAAATCACAAAAGTCAAGAAAGAGCCCTAAGCTTACTTGAAACCATAATTAGACATCACCGCAGCAGGTTCCCCTTTTCCAGCTGCAACAACAAGCTCATTTCCAAACCTGGTCCAAGTATTTATTAAACAATTTGCTGAGCAAAACAAGTGATAGATGTTGATACTATCAACGGTTACTGAGGTATCCTGAATTCCTTATCCAATGATTTGGTTATTCATGTTGCAACCCCTATACAGCTTGTAAGCCTTGATATGTCAAGTGATGAACAATTTGCCTTTCAATACTTGAGGTCGAAATGAAAAGTCAGAGATGTTTAAGCTATGTAACCTACCTATTAACTAGCTTCCAGAAAGGTGAATGTCCTTGTACCACCTGCAACATGAACATATCGAAGAGAGTGCATCAAAAGTGTTACACTTACAGAAACTAACGTGATGATAAAAATGAAGTGACGCGACATGGTTTCAACCTGCAACGGAGAAACATGAAGACCTAACAACTGACTCATCTCAGAAGCCCGTGCAGATTCAGGCAAACCACCTCCTGTCATAACCAAAGAAATTTCCAGATGAGAATAATAAAAGGCAGAAGTAAACCATTTCCCTTTCCTTGACCAATTTGAGAGCCTTATCCAAATGACTTTGATGCTAAATATATTTCTCACTTCTGTTTTCATTTTGATATGTACTCAATTATCAAGGAAACAAAGTTTATAGCTTCTCTCGTAACAGTAGGAACAAAGGCTCACCATTAGTCAAGAATAAAAAAGGTATCTTCAAAGCACCTGCAAAAGAACCACAAAAATCATCAAACTCAACAATGGCAGATACTATAAGTAAATCTAGCATAGTTATAAAATGTAGAAGAGACTACAACTAAACCTAACCAGTACTTAGCCTATAGTCAATCTCTGGCTCCGCATTGAATATCAGTAAGCTAATGTAAGAGAATTCAGAGCAGGACAATTACATCTCTATCTTCCAGACAACAAAGAGCAGCTCCAATGAATCAATCACGAAAGAGAGCTTGTAAAAGAAACAAAGAGCATACCGGAATCATCATAGAGTCGTCGGAGCGCGCCAGGGGAACCACCTACGGGGGAGGAACCAAGAAGGATAACGCCGTCGATGTCGAATGCAATGCCATAAGACGGGCTGTGTTTTTTTTGTCAGAATTAGGAAGAACGGCAATGATTCGTCGGAGACGATTTCAACGAAGGAACACAGGAGGAGCGGGAGAGGAGAACTTACCGATTCGATTCCGGTGAGAGGTTACAGAAGGAACGAGACGGTGACCGGAGACTAAAATCCCGCCGCCGGAGCGAATTTCTCGCAAGGATTCGTAGATGATTCATTTTGTACTACTATTGATTTAACCAATTGGGTTATTTATATAAAATCACAACTTGTATAAAAAGTTCTTTGTACACATAAAATAGAAAATATACTTTATACACAAATATCAACTTTCCTAATAATTTCTATGCGTAAGAAAAGTA